GCCAGGTATTCAGGGAACAGAAAGAGAAGGAAGGCATAGAGAGACGAGAAACTGAGTAATGAAGAAGGACAAAAAGGGAAAAAGAGGGAAAAGATAACAAAACAAATTTAAAAAAAAAATAAGAACAATAAAAGCCCCCCAAAAAACAGAAAAAAAAAAAAAAAAAACAACCCACGAGAAAAGAAATGCCCTCAGGGATCTCTCTGCCTGTCTGCGCAAGCCGAGGGGGCAGGTTCCAAGCCGCGCAGCACTGCCCGGCCAGAACGGGCTCCCAACTCAAGAAAAGGAACAGAAAACAAACACACAATTCAAAACAAACAAACAAACAATAGCCCCAGGATCCCACCAGTGTGGCATCCCAGACCGCAAAGCAGGTGCAGCCCCTCAGGAAGAAGCAAAGATGGCACTCGGAGCCAGGTATTTGAGCGAAAGGAGGGGGAGGTGGTGAGAGGTAAGGAAAAAAGTCAAAAGAAGCAGAAAAAAAGCAACACCAGCAGCCAACAAATGGCACTCAGAGAGCCAGCCAGTGTGGGCGGGTGGAATCCAAACAGCCGGTGCTTCCCAGACAAGAGACTGTGGCCGCAGCAAGCAGAGGAGGCCGAGTGGGGGTGAAGAAGGGTGGGGGGTGGAAAGCGTATATCGCAAATTACCGGATCTCCGTAGCCCCTCGGGAAGAAGGAAAGATGGCACACGGAGCCAGGTATTTGAGCGAAAGGAGGGGGAGGTGGTGAGAGGTAAGGAAGAAATCAAAAGAAGCAGAAAGAAACAACACCACCAGTCAACAAATGGCACTCAGGGAGTCAGCCAATGCGGGCAGGTGGAATCTAACTAGCTGGTGCTTCCCAGCCAAGAGACTGTGGCCGCGGGAAGCAGAGGAGGCCAAGTGGGGGTGAAGAAGAGTAGGGGGTGGGAAAGCGTTTATCGCAAATTACCGGTTGTTTTGTCTCCCGCTGGAAGCTCCGTGAAGCTGCTTTCTCGTACCCCCTGTTTGCTGGTCTCCAAAAGGAGTCCAAGATGGCAGATCCGCATTGCGTTAGCTGATAGGTGACCTCTGCATGAATCTCTCTTCGCTCTCCATTCTCTGTCAGTCTTCTCACTCCATTTGGTGCTTGGCTGAGTTCTTTATCTCTTCATTTGATGTTGTAGGGTTTCAGGATTGCTGTTTTTTTCTGTTTGGCTTAGTTTTTCGGATCTTCGCTGTGGAGGGACAGCGTGGTGCTTCTGCCTAGAGCGCCATTTTGCCAGAAGTCTGTAAAATTGATAGATTTTAAACTAAGATCATGGTTTATGATAAAGTCTGATCCCTTGTTGCTGTGATTAAAGCATCGTTTCCCCTCTGCACTTAATTTTGAAAACTTTGTAACATATAGAACAGTTGAAAGTACTGTATGATGGACACATTGTATACCCTTTATTTATATTCACCAGTCGGAAACGTGTTGCTAATTTTCTTTATCACTCTTTATATCTACTGTGAAGATCCCTGGTGGCACAGTGGCTAAAGCACTTGGCTGCTAACTGAAAGATTGGTGGTTTGAATGCACCAGCTGCCCTGCAGGAGAGAGATGTGACAGTCTGCTTCTGTAAAGATTGCAGTCATGGAAACCCTGTGGGGCAGTGCTTCTCTGTCCTCTATGGTAACGAGTTCAAATCGACTTGATGGCAATAGGTTTGGTTTTTGGTTTTTGTATATCTACTATATATTATATAGCCTTTAAAAATTTGTTTTAAATTGCTGAACCATTTGTAAGTTTCAGACATTATAACACTTCACCTCTAAATGCATTAGCAGTATTTCCTAAGAACAAGGATACTTTCTTACATAACCAAAATACAATACAATTATAATACCCAAGAAATTTAACATTGATGTGTTAATACTATATAGTATAGAGTTCATATTCAAATTTCCCTAGATGTTCCAAAAATGTCCTAAAGCTTTAAAAAAATTAAAAAAAAAAAAAATTCAGTAGATAGTCAAGGAATACAAGTTTCTTTTGGTTATTATGTAAACCGATATTTTTAATCTTTAAAAGAAAATATGTTTCAGGTACTTTTATTATCGTTTAAACACTCCTACTATGTAAAATAGAGTTTCTAATCTATTACAGCAACGTGAAATTTTCCAAAGGCAAAATTTATTTTACCGTCTGTTAAAAACTCCATAGTTACTGTGACCATATAGATTACAAAGGCATCATTTTATAGGGTAAAACATTTAAACTAACTCAGTTGATGTATAAGCATAAAATTATATGTTTGAAACTTGCAGAGATTGGCACACTAATCACAATTACATTACACCAGAGATTTGATGCATAGTTTTGGTCCGTGCTTCATTAGCTCCTTGGTAACATATGCAATGCAGATATGGTCAGGAATGTGGTTTTCTCTATGCCAATTAACCTGGTCTGTTTTCTGGTGCATACTGCATATACTTTCACAAGGGTTATTGAATGTGAAAATATAGAAAAACCAGTTAAAAGAGGCAGGATATGTAATTGTTAAGAGCGTGGACTTTAGAGTTTTGAAGACCTGAACGTGAACCCCAGTTCTTTTGTTTCAGCCTCATCTGTACACTACAGATATAATACTTAACAGAGTTTAAATGCTATGGTGTTACCAAAAGTCTGACTTTCTAGCAGAGCAAGTTTCTCCTGACCCCCCGTCATATTGTTTCTTATCTTTAGAATTGTCATGGCTTTTCTTGGCCTTTTGATCTTCCAAATGTATTTTAAAATGAGTTTTCAAGTTGCATAAAAACAATTTTTGAGATTTTGTTTAGAATGAATCCAATTTTGATTGGCTTATTTTGGGAAGGATTGACTTTTTTACCATACTGTGTCTCCTTAACTATCATAATGAGATGATATATGAAAAGAGCTTAATCCAGTGCCGGGAACATGGTAAATACTCATCATCATCATTATTCTTCATTACCAATACTAGTAGAATACCTTCAAGTCCTCTCATGATGATGGGTCAGCATTATATTTAAAAACAGCACTATTATGCTATAGGCTTAGGTAGTCAAACATAAAAAAAAAGTATAATGTATTTCTTTTATTTTAAAATTAAGACTAAGAATACTCTATTAAGTAATGCTATAGAATGTCTAATGTGCTTCGTGGTTTTAAATTGCATATTAATTTGCAAGTCATAATACAGAATAAAGGCTAATCTTAACCCTACTATATAAAGACCTTTTGGAATAAGAAGAAAAAGATGAATAATGCAGTTGAGAGAGAAGCAAAAGATATGACCAGACAAAATCAGAGAAAAATACAAATATAGATAGATAGATAGATAGATAGATAGATAGATAGATAGATAGATAGATAGTCAACCTCACTGATGATAAGAAAAATAAAAATTCACTGAAATTCTATTTTTACTGCTCAGCGTGGCAAAACTCTGAAAAGTTTGATATGCCTTCAATTTGGCAAAGTTTGGGAGAAATGAGCTTTCTCATACCTTCTGGTGGGAGTATAAAATATAACAACCCTGTAGAGGGAGATTTGGCAATATCGATCAAAATTACAAATGCAATTAGCCCTTTGACCCCACAGTCCGACTTGTGAGAATTTATTTTATGGTTAGATGTATATACATATAAAATGACTTAAAAAAAACCAAACCCATTGCCGTCGAGATGGTTCCAACTCATAGTGACCCTGTAGTACAGAGTAGAACTGCCCATAGGGTTTCCAAGGAGCGCGTGGTGGATTCAAACTGCCGACCTTTTGATTAGCAGTCGAACTCTTAACCATTATGCCACCGGGGTTTCCGAACTGACCTAAGTACAAGGTAATTTGTTACCTTTGGGGAAGGAAACTTGCTAGATAGGGTGTGAGTAGGTAGGGAGGCTTAATTTTCGCTATCATTCTTTTTTAGTTTGTTTTAATTCTCTTTAAGTTTTTATTTTAAAATTTCAGAAGTACAGTTAATTCCTTTTTTTTATTGTGGTAAAAAAATATATATAACAAAACATTTGCCAATTCAACAATATAGTCAATTCCTTTTTTAAAGTAACTTATTTTTTGTTGTTTTTGTCACTATCATTCTTTTATACCTTTTAAATTTTGAACCTATTCAAATTAATTAAAAAATGTTTACTTTTCCTTCCCCAGTACTTTCCATCTCTATATTGTCTTCATCTTCAACACCTCTTTTTTCTTATCTTTCTCTTACTTTTTACATGTTCTGTTCTTTTGTACCAAAAGGCTTATTTTTGAGATTTTGTCTATCAGTTAAAATGCTTTCTTTCTGCTACGTGGCCCACCCAACCAGCTTGTATTTTGGGTTTGATCCTCAGCTTTATTTATTGAAATCTTCCTCTCTGTATTCGAAGAGTGTGTTTTAGGTTTTTGGTAGGACTACTTTAGAGGCAGAGCTATTTCAATGGCCTGAGGGTTTCTGCAGGCCAATCTTGAGACTAATAGCTAGTCTTCAGGAGCCCAGGCACTTCGGATTCCATTTGGTTTTTGCCCATACATTTAAATGCTACATAGTCTGGGAATTTTTTATTTCAAATTATTTTTGAGTGATTATAAACACAATTTATCTTGTTTTATTAATTTACTTCAGGCAAGAGTGTGCACCCCAGTAGCTACCCCACAGCCTACTCCTTCTCGCTCACCTTCATCACCTCCTGAGGAGCGTGTGTTGGTAAAAACTCCAGATTCTTCTCCCTGTGATTCAGAACATGATGAAGCTTTTCCTGTTAAAGAACTATTTGCTGAAAAAGGTAAACACCTTATCACTATAACTCAATTTTAACTTTCAAAACAAAACAAAAAGCTGTTGCTGTTGAGTCGGAATGAGTTTTAACTTTAGTTACTATTGAATAAAATTTCATGATTTGCTGTATAAGATGTTTTATAGATTAACATATATCTGTTCACTAAATAGTTTTTTAGAAAATCATTTTTCTGCAAGAAACTAAGGAGTTAATTGCTACTTTTAAAATATATAATAGACATTTAGACTAAGTATATGGTGATGTTAAAAGTGTTGTCTTTTCACGGTTATTTTCTTACACTTTACTAAGTTAATTTAGAAATTTTCCAATTAATGGACATTATAATTATTATTGCCATTATTTGTAAGCCAAAATATTAAGGGATTTCTGAAACAACGTATTTTGCCTTCCTATGGAGTTTTTTAGGAGCCCTGGTGTCGCAGTGGTTAAGTACATGGCTGCTAATTGAAAGGTCAGGAGTTCAAACATACCAACCACTCCATGAGAGAAAAATGCGACAGTCTGCACGTGTAAAGATTTATAGCCTTGGAAACCCTATAGGGCAGTCCTACCCTGTCCTATAGGGTTGCTATGAGTTGGGATCAACTCGATGGCAATGGGTGTTTTAGGAGCCCTGGTGGCACAGTGGTTAAAGCGCTTGGCTGCAAACTGAAAGGACGACAGTTTGTATCCACCAGCCCCTCCACAGGAGAAAGATGTGGCAGTCTGCTTGCGTAAAGATTACAGCCTTGGAAACCCTATGGGACAGTTCTACTTTGTCCTGTAGGGTTGTTATAAGTTGGAATCAACTCGAAGGCAATGGCTTTGGTTTTTTGGATGGAATTGTTTACTCACTTTTTTCTTTTAATCTTTAGGAAATGATATGCCTGCCGCCACACTTGTTAATACACCAACAGTTACTCCTGCTGCTACACCTCCTTCAGCAGCAGCTCTTACCCCGACTTTGTCAGAGATTTCCATTGACAAATTAAAGATATCAAGCCCAGAGCTTCCAAAGCCATGGGGTGATGGAGACCTGCCTCTGGAGGAAGAGAATCCTAACTCTCTTAATGAAGAACCTGTTCACCCAGGAGCTATGTAAGCAAGAACGTATTTGCTTTTAGTAACTGTACATTCCATCTTAAGCATCAGATATGATAAATGAAGCTTTATAAACCACAAGCTATTTTAGAAGAAAGAAATTTCATAAATTATCATGAATTTTGGTTTTGAAAATTTTTATCAAATTTATTATAAGTAAATAATAAATTTAAACCTTTTTGAATTTATTTAAAATAAATACATAATAAAATAGTAAATTTAAACCTTTTTCTTAAAGGTTTGAAGCAGATTAAAATAAAGCTATTTATCATATTATTAATAAAGCAGTTTCTCCCTAGTGTGGATCTTCATTTATTGTGATCTATTAACTTTTATATTACCATATATCCCCATGTAGATTTATTTTATGAATGGAAGAGCTTCCAGGATGGTCTGTGATTAAAGCATGAAAACAATTTCAGAAAAATACATGTTTTTAATTAATTATAATACTATAAATTATAGAAATACTTTGCTAAAAGAGATTTAGTACATTTGGATCTATTTTTTATATCAACATCAGTATATACTTTCAATAACTTAAGTTCAAAATATGTCTGTCTTCTTAGTGTAATGTCTGTGGCTAAGGATGAAGAACCTGAGAGCATACATTTCCCTGTTCCACCTGCACCTGTAGAGCCAATTCCCTTGACACCCTTTCCTGATGCTGCCAAGGCCCCTTCCTCCATACAGACGCCAAGTTCAGAGTCATCAACACTGGAGAGCACTACTGTCACGGAAACCGAAACTTTAGATAGACCCATCTCTGAAGGAGAGATTTTATTTAACTATGGTAAAAAATTGGCTCCCAAGAGTAAGTTAACTTGTATCAGTTGATTTCACTGATTATATTATGATAATTTTCTAACTAATACTTTCCTGTTTTAGAATATTTTTACTTAATTTTCAAGACTTAATATGGTATTGGAGTCCCAGGATGGTGCAAACCATTAATGCGCTCTGCTGCTGACTAAAAGTTTGGAGGTCTGAGTCCATCCAGAGGCACCTGGGAAGAAAGGCCTGGTGATCTACTTCTGAAAAATTAGCCATTGAAAACTTTATGGAGTAGAGTTCTACTCTGACACACATGGGGTCACCATGAGTTGGAATCAACTCGATGGCATCTGGTTTGGTGCTAGGTTAATGTGATTTCGTAGACTCTGGGAAAGTTAGTTAACTTTTCTGAGCCTTATCATGAGAAAGTACAATATCCCTCATAATTCTATCTTTCAGAGATAATATCACTGTTAACAGTTTGGGTTATCCCCTTCCAGTCTTTCTACAAATTTTTTTCTATGCATATATAGACACATACACGTATATGTATATGTATGTATATTTGCCTTTAAAACTAGCATCATACCGTACAGGTTGTTTTGAAAACTGAACCTTCACCTAATAATATACTATTATAGACATCTTTCTATGTCAATACATACCTCACTTTTTTTTATGACTGTGTAGTGTTTAAGCATTGCCACATGATGGGCATTTAGATTTCTTCAATGTTTCGGTATATACACAATTCTCCAATGACAATCCTTGCACATGTATCTTTGTATACTTATGTAATAATTTCCTTAGAGTAAATACCTAGAAGTGGAATTGCTGAATCAGAGTATCCACCTTTAAAATACTGATATTTTGTCAAAGTGATCTCCAAAAAGGTTAATCAGTTTTTAATTATATCAGCAGTTTTTGAGAGTGGTCATTTCTCAATTTCATAGCTACAATTGAGACTTGTATATTTTTTTATTTTCTGTTTATCTGGTAGCTGAAACAAAAATACAAAAACCTCATCTTTGTTATAAATTGCTTTTTTTTTTAAACTAGTAAGGTTGAATAGCTTGTGAATTGCTTGTTTATGAACTTTGTTAGCATTTCTGTAATGTAAGTTTAATTGTAAAGTTCTGTGGCTTTATGGTCAGATTATTTGCTAAGTTTCTAAGTTGTATTTCTTCTTTTTTCTAACTTTTTACATTTTAATTTCTAGTTTTAGGAGATGGGGGACTGTATCCAACAAACCTAAATGATAGCTTATCCAGTACTCTAATTGATGCCCTTGAAATGGTAAGGAATGATTGACTCAAAAATTGGATTCTGACATGAAGAATACCTTGGTGAACTCGTTGTCATTAATTAGATTATTTTCTCAGTTATTTGAGTTATAGACACAAAACTTAAATATTCATGACAGAATTTAAGGTTTCTTTTTTTTTAATTATTGAGGTGAAATTCACATAACATAAAATTAACCCTTTTAAAGTGAACAATTCAGTGACGTTAGCACATTTACAGTATTGTTGCAACTACCATCTCTGTAGTTCCAAAAATCTTTTCATCACTCTAAAAGGAAACCTTATATATACCCTTTAAGCAGTTACTCTTCATTCTCTGCTCTCCTGAGTTTTGCACATTTCATAATGGAGTTTTACCTTAATTGTGAGAATGAAAAGAAAAAATTGCGTGTTTAACCTCTTTGGTTCCCGTAGTTGGAAAATACACAGTTAATTAGGCAATGAAATGTAGCTCAGTGCAAATTGTTACCTGGATATGTTGCATTTAAAATATTTTAGGCAAGGCCTTAGCCATTTAAATCAAACCTCTTATAACACATTTGTTATTTTTTCCTAACCATAGTTATAATTCTTTATGGAAAAAATAATTGAATTTAATGACTTTTTTAAAAACCTGAAGTAGGATCCAGGGATACTAACCCTTCCTAGCTATTATCTAGGTCTGCAGAAGAAAAAACTGGCAATTAAAAATATATACCTACCTAAAAAAAACCCATTGCTGTTGAGTTGATTTCGACTCGTAGCAACCCTATAGGACAGAGTAGAACTGCCCCATAGGATTCCCAAGGAGCAGCTGGTGGATTTGAACTGCTGACCTTTTTGGTTAACAGCCATAGCACTTAACCACTGTGCCACCAGGGCTCCGTTAAAAATATATGAGATATATATATATATATATATATATAATAAATGTCATACAGAAATGATAGTAGGAATTTTCTTTTGAAAAAACTGCTAAGGAATTGAAATCTTCTTTATGTTTATGTGTTTTCAAACAACCTAAGCAAGAAAAGGTCATTGCACTGAAGGTTAAGTGTGGTGTTGCTTTGTGTACTGTATAAATATACAGCAGGAAACTGAACTGAAGAATTGATGACACCATCAAACATATTTATGAATCACTGTAATCAATGACAAAGTAGAGGGTCTAATTTTCACATATTTTGATAATACATTTCCAGTTTAAATTTAACTAAATTACTTTATATTTAAACAATATACAGTTGTTTATATTTGAGGTAAACCTAAAGGGTTTATATATGTATAAAGGGTTACAGTCGGATGGAAATGAAAACTATGGGGAAAAAAAAAAAGAATCCATCTTCTTTCCGAAAAGTTCTAATATGATAAAAATTTTTGTTGTCCTAATGATATTTACATTTCTTCTAGGAAGATGATCATCTCAGTGAAGGGCAAGTGATTAGGATGCCCCATAAAAAATTTCATGAAGATGCATTTCTTTCTCTTTTTGCTAAACAAAACCAGGAATCATTGGTTTCACAGCAAGCAGTCTATCATTCAGAGGTACTTTTTAACCTTAATGATATTTTTTATTAAATCTAAATACAAGAAAAGAATAACAGATATTCCAGTTTTTATTTAAAGCATGCCAATAGTTCACGTGTTCAGTGGCCAGCTTTGTAGCAAGTTTAGCCTGAAGTTATAGAGCTATAGAATTTTATAGCTGAAAGGAATTTAGACCATCGTTCCAGCTCTCTTGTTTAAAAAAACTAAAGCCCTGTTGTATAATTTATGAGGATCATTCATTCCTTCTTTCTTTCTGAAACCATTTACTGAGTACTATATGCCAGACACAACCTTGGAAATACAAAGATGAATAAGTTCTAACCCCCACCTTTAAGCAGTTTATAGTCATATAGCAGAGGACAGCTTAAGCAAGTAATCACAATACAGTGCAGTAGCTGATCAAATATGTGTATTTACAAGTGCTATATGAGTACAGAGGAGAGAAATCTATTCTTGAAGTTGGATGACACTTCACAGAGGGTATGATATTGATCTGAGTCTTTAAAAACTTAGTAGGATTTCATCAGGCAGCAATGAAGAGGTAGGAAATTTTGGAAGAAGATACGGTGTATGTTTACACTTATGTGAACCATGGGATATATATGCCCATGTTACATTTTTATGCCCCTGGAGGTTTATTGGCAGGCATTTGAGCTGCTTTAGTATGTTCTGGCATCAGGGCGGATACTGGTGCAACTGCCTAAAAAACAAGGAAGTTGGTCTGTGCCACATTTGAGTGTTGAGAGCCATTCGTATGAGGGGATGCTTCCTGGAGGAGTGATTGTGTAAAACTTTTGTGTCTTTTGGCTTCTGCATAGCGAGGTAAAACTTGCAAGTAGCACGTATGTTTACTATTTCTTCTGTGTTATTGGGAAGGTGTGGTTGCCAGCATTTAGAAATATTCAAGTAAATGAGTTATTTTTGGAGTGAAAACAGTTTGTGATGCACTTTCTGGGCCATGGGACTGATAAATGTCCCACAAATGTGATGTGCTTCGTGGAACATGGTACCAATATGGCCCACTCTAAATCAAACTGATAACAATTATGTACAGTAAATGCAATGTTTATTTATATTTAGTATTTTGTGTGTATTTTTGGAAAGTTGAGTAAGATATTTTGTGGTTCAAGTGTAACCAGGAAGTGTGATGCTCCATGGGACCGGTATGTCCCACGTGTGCTGTGCTTCGTGGAACATGGGACTGATATGTCCTGTTTGCAATTGATACCCTGTTTTTTCAGATAATAAAAAAACTACCAGGAAATAATGATTCAGCTTCCATTCTATTAGTGAAAAAACATGGCATTGCCAAAAAATTACAAAAAAAAAAAAAAAAGACTACCCATGACACAGTGACGCAAGAAATATTAGGGCATATTTAAAAAGTGTTGAAAATCTCAGTGTGGCTAGAGCTTTAGATAGAAAGTCAGATTGTCTGAAGAAATAGTTTGAATCAGATGAACATAAAGACCTTTTTAGGCCATGGTAAGGCTTGGGCACTGTGGAGCCCATTAAGGTTTTTGAGCAAGGGATTCACATGCTAACATACTTAGGAAGGAATATGGACAAGTGAGGGAGAGATTGGGAGATCTGTGAGAACACCACTGGAGTAGTCTAAACAAGAGAGAATGAGAACATGAACAAAGACAGTTACCACAGAAATAGAGAGGAGAAAGATTTAAATTTAAGGGTATAGAATTGTTCACTGATTGAAGGAGGTTGAAGAAGAGTTTTTAAAGGATAATCCTGAGGCTTTTCACTTGGGAGCCTGCCTGGGTGGTTACGTAGTTGTTGACTTAGAAGCGCGGAAAGATGAATGCCAAGTTTTGTGGGGAAGATAATGAGTTCAATTTGATGTATTGAATTTAAGGTGTTTAGGTATTAACACAGTGGCTGCAACAATGGGCTCAAACATAGCAGCGATTGTGAGGATGGCACAGGACTGGGCAGTGTTTTGTTCTCTGGTACATGGGGTCATTAAGAGTCAGAACCAATTAAACAGCACCTAACAACAACAAGGAGAGTCCAGGTGGAAATAAATGTATAGCAGCCACTCAGGATGGTTAATGATGGAGCAGGGACTAGAATTCTCCATCTCTATGTAGTGCTTTTTCTTTCGTATTAGGATGTCTGTATCTGAACACACGTGAAAGTAGCTTTAGATGAACTGGAGGTCTGAAGACTATACCAGACCCAAGGAGATGGCTGGTTTTATTTTCTAATAATTTGAATTTTTACCCTTAAAAATTTAAATGATTAGGAAAAGTAGTGGAAGAAGATGAAAATTTAGTAATGAAAAATTTTTCCTTCGTATTGAAAAAAATAATTCAGTTTTCTCCAACTTCAACTGGCTATTGGCCAAATATCGGTTTTACTGGAAAGATATTAGTTATGATTCCTATGTTGCTAAGCTCAAGAAAGTACTCTCATAGCTGTAGAAACCAGTAAGCTGAAACCAGTAAGCTGAAACAGAAAATGAGGCAAGCAAATGGCATGAACAGAGGTAGCAAATAGCAGAACTGGCAGCAATAATTTAAAAAGTTCTATTGACTAATCCCTGCTTCCTACCTTTTATTGTTTCATTCATTTATTTGAGTCTATCAGACTTTTCCATCTTTTTAATGCTGGGAAGCTTATCTCTATTATTTTTTCCATTCTATTTTTTTTTTTTCCCATCTCCTCTAGAACTTTTGTATCCAGATTTTGGTATTTCTAATTCTGTTTATCTCCTAAATTTGCTCTTTATCCTTTCCTACTGTCTCCTGTGAGAGCTCCTCAATCTGATCTGCCAACCACTAATTTGCTCTTTAGTTGTATCCATTCTACTACAGTGAGAGCCAAAACTTGATGGACTGCCTTGTTTTTCTGGGTCTCACAAGTTTTCTGCCTTTAATGAGGTGCTAAAACCAGACCAAACCTGTTGCTGTCGAGTCAATTCTGACCCATAGCGACCCTACTGGACAAAGTAGAACTGCTCCATAGGGTTTCCAGGGAGCACCTGGTAGATTCAAACTGCTGACCTTTTGGATAGCAGCTGAACTCTTAACCACTGTGTTACCAGGGTGCAGTCACTATTTTTCTCTCTCTCTCTCTCTCTATTTAGTGGAAAATATTTGAGTTTTCCTACTCTGGCAGGTTTCCACCTAACACAAGCTATGGCTTTTGCAGGTTTTACTGTGTTTTTTCATCTCTAATAGGTACTGTGAACTGGTCGTAATTAATTTCTTGCTAAAATGTATTTACTGTCATTCTAAACATTGCCCAAGAGTCTCCAAGGAATTTCATATTAATTGCAAAACAGTCTTTCTATATTTAAAGGATATTGAGGCAATTGGTATTCCTAAAGAAGAATCAGGTTAGGAAATAGAGTTGGAAATATATAGAGGAAAATTGGGGCAAATTGTAGAAAACCTTGAACGTGGGGCTAAGAAGTTTATATTTTATTTTCTAGTCAAGAGTTATTGAAGATATTTCAGCAATGATTTCTTCATATATTCTAGTAAAAAAAAAAAACTTGGTTGAAATTAAAACTCTTCAGTAACTTGCAGTAGAATGAGAAACCTAGGAGCTTTCAAGTTTTGTAATTTTTTACTCAGTTTTTGATTAGCAAACTGATTAGAGGATCTCCAAGTCACAAAATGTGCTAGAGATTTTTTTTTAAATGTGCTGTCAAGTCATTTCTGACTCATGATGACCCCATGTGGTGTCAGAGTAGAACTAACTGTGCTCCATATGGTTTTTAACAGATGATTTTTCAGAAGTAGATCTCCAGGCCTTTCTTCTGAGGCACCTTTGGGTGAACTCAGACATCTGACCTTTCAGTTATCCACCAAGCATGTTAACCTTTTGCACCAATTAGGGTATATAATTTTTAATACAGAAAGAAAAAAGTCTTAATTTTTTTCAATTGGTTATTTATTTTATATATTTGATAAAGAAATATACAAAATATTTTTGTACTTTTATACTTTTTCAGGGAAAGCATTTTATTAGATACGGTTAAAATAGTCTTGTTTAATCTGTATACTTATAAAAAGAGTTATTTGTATAGGGGTAATCTTTATGTCTTTTAAGGTATATTATTCTCTTCATTGGTTGCTTAATTATAAAGTTCACATAAAAACTTTAGACAATTTTAGTTCATGAAGGAGAAATAAATTTCCTAATTCTAATTTTAAACTATATGAACTATGTATAGTGCTTTAAATTATTTTAAAATATACTTTTAAATTGGTAACAAAATTTGGAGCATTAAAAAACAGGGTTATTTCACTTCATAAAAAATAAAATATTTAGCACACATTTTAGCACTCATTAACTTTTTAAACTTGTCTTTCAAGTAGTGTATATATAGTATAAAAAGCACTTAATAAAATACCTTCAAGCAGTCGAGTGGTACAGACTGGTATATTCAACAAGTGTTTCCTGTTTTCACTTGGTTTTATTATAATGATTTTGACAACCATTTCATCTTTTCATAGGACTTGGAAAATAGTGTGGGTGAACTTAGTGAAGGACAAAGACCCAGGCTGACCACAGCAGCAGAGAAGATCTTAATGGGACATTCTGTCTATATGCAGCAGCCTGTTGCTAATGCAGAGTCTTTGAATAAAAAATGTGACCCTAAGCCATTATCTCAGCAATTTGACACCATTTCAGGTATACACCAAAGTATTTTTTCTTGATGTGTTATCTGTTATTCACTTTGAATCCCATTGTACTTTCTTTGTACTGTTTCCATGCTGAATGCTGTATGCTATTTGCATTGCAATCTATAGTGGTAATCTGAATTGAGAAAAGTAGTACTATTTTCAGGTGAGGGCCTGCAAAATTTCTTTATTAAAAAGGATCTCCATAATTGAAAAATTTGGTTATGGCATACAGCAGTTTTTCCCCAAATGTGATTCATGTATCAGTGTTTGTACATGAACCACTTTGTGGTGCATGAGATCATTTAGGTAATATGAACATTTAAAAAATTTTAATAGTGATATACTTATTTTAATATAAACTAGAGAAATATAAGTAGCACATCAAAACTGTGATTTAACAGATCTTCTTGTTTAGGACAAGGCTAAATTAGGTAATGCTATAGAATTCCAGTCTTCACGCCATGTGAATTTCAGGTGCAGTGCTCAGTGCACTCAAGACTGTTTTAGAACTTCAGGACTATTTTAGAACTTCACTAAGCTTTCTGCTGTAACACTTTGGAAATAAGGATAGGATAGAGAAAACTGGTCACTAATTTTTCCGTGCCCATTGCTGCATTCTCCTAAGTGAAAAGAAGCTTCCAGTGGAATACAGATTTTTCAGAAATCAGAAAAGAAAATGCCTGAAGTTTGAAAAACATTGGTATAGAGTATTTAGAGTGGCAGTGTTACATTGCAAGAGCACCTTATGTCATTCAGAATGGAGAGATAAAAAAAAGAAAATACCAAGAAATAGTAAAAAAAAAAAAAAATAAACAAGAATGGAGAGATATTCAGGATTGTAATTATTTCTCATTTTGTACACGTAGTGAGAGTATTAAATGTTTTTTACATTCTTTCAAATTAGTAGAATTCAAAGTGGCATAAAATGTGCAGCTAACAAGGTAGATTGCAGTTAAACAGAATTACCACTAGATGACTCTCGCCGATCACTTGACAGCTGCTAGTACTTGAGCACAACTAACCCGCTGCCTGTCATTGAGTCTTTTCCGACTCATAGTGATTGTATAGGACAGAGTAGAACTGCCCCAGAGGGTTTCCAACGCTGTCATCTTTACAGAAGCAGACTGCCACATCTTCCTCCTGTGTAGTGGCTGGTGAGTTTGAAACATCTACCTTTCAGTTAGTAGCCGAGCACTTTAACCATTGTGCCACCAGGGCTCCTGAAAACAACTAGGTACTTGTTAAATTGTTATAGAATAAAATCCATGAGGGTATATCCTATCCAGCTCCTCCATATATATCTGGTAGCACCTAGTAGATTACCTACAGTACAGTACATTTTTTAATAATAAGTACACTGTAGGTATTTAATTTAATTGGAAAAAATAGTAATATGAAATAACAAGATTGAGCATACATATGAGGCAGTATAGAAGAGGGGCTAAGTGTTTGGGCTTTTGGAGTTACAGAAATGGGTTTGAATTCCAGCTCTGCCACTTACTAGCTCGCAGGTTGAATGACAAAAAAGATGCAGAATCAGCTTTGGAGAGCTGTCTTGGTAACCCTAAAATGCTGGCTGGTATTTTTAATGAGTTGCAAAGGATCCTGGGGTATACTACCAACTACAGCTCTTCGTTTATTCAGAAAACCTGTATTGAATACCTACTATCTAAGCCCATTGCCATCGTGTCAATTTTGACTCATAGAGACCCTATTGGACAGAATCAAACTGCCCCATAGGGTTTCCAAAGAGCAGCTGGTGGATACAAACTGCCAAATTTTGGTTAGCAGCCATCCTCTTAAACACTGCACCACCAGGGCTCTACCTACTATCTACCTGGTACTAAATTGGTACTATGTTAGGCACTCAAGTTACAGAGATGATGAAGAGCTGTTGTCAAGGAAGTTTACAAATTAGTGTGAGAGAAATACAAGACAGACAACAATTATAATACTGTGTGATTAGTAAAACAATACAGACTACTGTATGAGTGCAGAGGAGGAACCAGCCCACACATGAGGGTTCAGAGAAGGTTTCCCACAAGAGCTGATGTGAAATTGAATCTTTTTTTTTAAATTGTGCTTTAGGTAAAAGTTTGCAGCTCAAGTTAGTTTCTCATTCAAAAATTTATACACACGTTGTTCTGTGACATTGGTTGCAATCCCCACAATGTGTCAGCATTCTGCCCCAGGTTCCCTGTGTCCATTTGTCCAGTTTTCCTGTACCTTCCTCCCTTCTCCTCTTGTTTTTGGGCAGGAGTTGCCCATTTGGTCTCATATATTTGATTGGTGAAATTGAATCTTAAAGGAATTAGCCAAGTGGTGAAGAATGATAATATTCCAGTTTGTTCATTTGCTTATTCATTCATTCAGAAAACTTTTTTTTTTTTGAGTGTCTGCTGTACTGTAGGCATATGCTAGGTGTTGTTATTAGGTGCCGTCAAGTCGATTTTGACTCAAAGCGGCCTCATATGACAGAGTAGAACTGTCCCATAGGGTTTTCTTTATGGGAGCAGATTGCCAGGTCTTTCTCCCATGGAGCTGCTGGGTGGCTTCAAACCACCAACCTTTTGGTTAGTAGCCCAGTGCTTAACATTGTGCCACCAGGGCTCCTTGTGCTAGGAACTAGGGATATAAAACCTGGTAAGGCCCTGACCACAATGAGTTTGTTCTGTAGTAGAGGTAGTAGATGAGAAAGAAGAAACATGCAATAAATTATTATATTTATTATTATGAAGAAGTCCATATAGAAAGGGGTTCAGGTCAGTTGTACTGGGGGGAGAACAGTCAGGGACGACATCATAGATGAGGGGTGTCTGACTGGAGGTGAGTCTTCAAAGATGAATAGATGTTTGCCATATGGTGAGTGAGGATGGGGTCTTCCAGGTAGAATATACAGTGAGACAAGGGGGCAAAGTCAAGAAATGCAAGGCATAATCGGGGAACAGTAAGTACTTTGTCAATGACTAGAACTCAGGGTTATGGGATGCAGTGAGATTGGAGCAGTGAGTAGAAACCGAAGCTTCTGACCAGTTCATTCTGTTTCAAACCCCTGCTGAGAATTTGCATTTCCACCACAGATATACTGAATCAGAATCTACATTTTAACACGATTCCCTGGTGATTCTTACATATAATAAATTTTGAGAACCGCTGCTATACTAGTGGTTCTCAGAACTGGTTCCTAATCAGCAATATTAGCATCACCTGGGAACTTGTTAGAAATGCAGATTAGGGAGGGGAGGGGTGGGGATGGAAAAACACTATATAGACAATGGATAAGTGGTAACTTTGGAAAAAAAAGAAATGCAAATTATCGGCAGGGTTTCAAACTGGAACGAACCGGATCATGAACAACCCTGGATGTTATATCAAGAAGTTTTTGGATTTACTCTGAGGCAATTAGGATCCATTTGTGCACAAAATGAGAAATAATGCCAGTCTTACTTTATATTTATTCCTATGCAAATTCAGTTATGAATTTATGATAATTTTGAATGTTGCATGGTATTCACGAATCTATTTGGGATTATAAGTAATGAATGAGTGATATGATCGTATTTACCCTTTATTCACCAAGATCATCTGAGTGACAATGTGGTGGGTGGTTTATTAGTTTCCTAGGGGTGCTCTAACAAAGGTGGCTTTAAAACAACAGAAATGTATTGATTTACAGTTCTGGAGGCTAGTAGTCCAAATTCAGAGTGTCGACACGGCCATGTTCTTTCCAAAGGCGCTCAGGGAAAATCCTTTCTTGTCTCTTTCAGCTTCTGATAGCCCCAGCAGTTCTTTGGTTTACAGCTGCAGCCTAACTCCAGTCTCTGCCTCCATCTTCACAAGGCTGTGTTCCCTCTGTCTCCCTGTCTCTGTGTATCTTCTCTTTTGTAAGGATACCATTCATAAAGGATTAGGACCCACCCTACTCCAATATGATCTCATGTTAATTGATAATATCTTCAAAGGCCCTAGTTCCAAACAAGGTCACATTCAACAGGTATAGGAGTTAGGACTTCCAGATTTCTTTTTGGGGGACTTCATTCAATCCATAACAGATGGATTGGAGGGAATTAAGACTGGAAGCAAGGAGACTGGTTAGACAGCTATTAAAGTGAATCTGGTGATACATTATGCAGCAGTGAGGATATATAAAAAGGAATAGATTTGAGAGACAATTAATAAGGAGAATGGACAAGTCTTAGTTTGAATGTGAGAGGTGCAAAAGAAAGGAAAGTCTAAGAGGATTCCCAGGATACATGGCAGTCCCATTCACTGAGGGAGGATCAATAAAGAGGAGAGACAGAATTATGAGGCAATAAGGATGAGTGAGGTTTTATACATGTTGAATTTGACATACCTTTGTGTTTCATACACACAGAATAATCTGTTAGGCATGCCAGGCCCAAAGCTACTGCTGGCAGTGGCAGCTTCAGGAGTACCTAGTCTTCTCTGAAAGTCTGCCACTGTTGCTTTCTCACTGCAACAAGATTCTAGAAAAGTTAGGGATTTCAAGTTTTGATTAATTAAATGAAATTTGACTTGAACGAATAATACCTTAGCATCCCTTTTATAAAAGGCTAACTCTTGCACATTTATACTAACAGACAAGACACCCTCACTCAATGAGCATACTCTTCAGAAGCAACACAACAAATTCAGCATTGTTGTGATTGCTATCACAGATTCCTTTCCTGACCCCTTATCACTGGGTTAGATACCCGTCCTATGTCTGTTTGTATATTTCTCTAATGTCACCTGCCTAATGTTGGTGTTATCACACTGATTGGTAATCTCACTTGAGGATAGGGACTTTATCTTGTTCACTGTCATATCCCTGTCATCTAGCAGAGTTTGTGGTCCCTTAGGCACAGTCAGTGAATATCTGTTGAATGATAGGGTGTTATATGATTTGAAAGCTATTGTGTACCTTTAGAGCTTTTGGGGAGATGTTTGATTATATACTTTCTGGATTTGTACATTTAATTTTCTTTTACCAAATTTATCTTGTATCCTTTTAATTTTTTATTTATACCCATATATTAATGCACATACAATTTTTCGTAAAAACAAGACTGATTATATCATACATTATTTTATGTTGCACTTTTTTCAGTGTATCCACCTCCCCACCCCCACACAATTCCTCCTGTCCCATATTATGCCTCACCTAGGTAACCTATGTTATGATTTTGATATGTTACCTTCCCGTTTTTTTCCTTGCACATACACACAGTTTTTACCCAGTAAACTCTGTGGAAATTACTCTAGGTTAACTGGTATTGCCTAAATTCACTCTTTTTAATGACTGCATAAAACCATATGGGGTAGATTTCCAATAATTTATTCAGTTATTTATCCATTGATAGATGTTTACTTTATTACCATTTTCTCCCACTATAAACAGTGCTAGAGCAAATATCCACACACGTATAGTCTACCATATTGTTACATTTTTTATTTATGGAATAGATTCCCAGGAGAAGTTAACTGGAATCAAGGGCAAATGTATTTTTAGTTTTAAAATAGATATGCTAAGTTGCTTTCTTAAAAGTTTAAACCACTGTACATTTTTATCAGCAATTAGAGCCCTTTCCCTGCATGCCCTCCAGAAATAGTGGTTATCACTCTTTTTAACCTTTGTTAGTTAAAAATAAAGCTATATATTTTATTTATATATAAAGCTATATGTTTATATATATTGGTGAGTTTATTTGTCTTTTCATATGTTATCCATTTGGATATGATCTTTTGTGAATTACCTATTTCTTTTCTCTCCTGTCAGGTTTAAATTTTTCTTTTAACTTCGAAAGAGCAATTTCTGTATTCTAGATGTTTTCTGTCATCCGTATTGCAAATATCTTTTTCCAAATTTATCTGTTGTTCACGGACATTATTTTGATTTTTTTTTCCATGCAATTAAAAAGACATTTTTGATACAGTCAGATATTTCTATCTTCATGACTTGATTAGGTTTCTTCTAACACAAGCTTATACCTATAGTCCCCTAGATTTCTTTGCAAGATTTTCATTATTTATTATGTATTTATATTTAAGTCTGTCTGTAATTAATTTTTACAAATGGTATAAGGTAGAAGTTCAACTTGGTTTTCTTCCAGATAAATAACCAGTTGTGCCAGCACCAATTATTATGCAGTCTTTTCCCTACTGAACTGATGTATCAGCCAGTTTGTATATTAAATTCTCGTATGTGTAGGAATATTTTGTTTGATTCTTTATTCTGTTTCACTGATCTAAAACATACTTATTAGACTGTTGTGGCTTTATGGTACATTCTGCTATTTGATAGGGCAAGTCGCCCAGTTTTTTTCCTTTTCATACTTTTCTTGGCAATTCTCAGGTCCTTAGTGTTCCATATGAACTTTAAGATTATTTTATCCACTTAAAAATCACCATAATTGCATTGATTTATATATTAATAGTGGAAGAATTGGTATTTTTATGGTATGTCTTTTTGTTCAGATCTTCTTTGATACCCTTAGGTAGGATTACATATTTTTTCTCATATGATTCTGTGTCTGTCTTAATAATTTTATATTTTTGGTCACTATTGTAAAGAAATTTTTTATTTCCATTTCTAAGTGCTTATCGCTATAATGTAAAAAAAAGCTAATGATTTGTGTATATTAGTCTAGTATCCAGTCATGTTACCAAATTCTCTTATTAGTTCTAACAGACTTCTTTCTCACTAGAGTCTCTTGGGTTTTCTAGGTATATAATCATATCATCAGCAAAAAGAATTTTTAGTCTCTTCTTTTTCAACATTTATATGTGCTAATTCTTTTGTTTTAATTTGTTTGCTGAAAAGTCTTAAGATGAAGTTGGACAAGTGACACAGGAATAGAAATAGGCATAGCAGAATATAAAGAGCCCACTGTAAGACCTTGCACAGTAAATTATGGGTATTATTTAAATTAATCTTCCACTAGATAATTAAATGAGAATAAAACAGGTAATAGTTTTGACAAATCGTTTTCTACAGATTGAATACTGGAAAGGTAAAAATTAAAACTCAAAGGATGTATTTTGCTTTATGTAAAGCATACTTTAAAATTTAGATTAACATAAAAGATCAATCAGAGTGTGATTATTTTCTATACCTAGGAAATTGTTAACAGATTGCCTTTAAATAGAAAATATCTATAATATCTTCAAAATATTTCATTTAAAACCATTTAGTTTATAACTCTTCAAGCCTATTTCTGTTGATTAAAATGAGATATGTTATACTGTCCTCTATTTAAAAGGGGATCATTAGAAAAACAGAATTTTCTTAGAAATATTTTAGCAAGAACATAAAATAAAAAGCAGCGACTAGGAATTGGAATCCTCATTAATTAAATTAAATCCTAGTTAATTAAAAAGGAGGTTTTAATCCTTCTGTGTCTGTTAGTAGCTCTCTGATTTTTAGACAGTTAGCTCCTCTGAGCCTTGGTTCTGTCAGTGAAAGATGGTTATAATACTACTGACCTGTCTACCTTCAGAATGATTGTGAGGTTCAAATTAAATGAGATAATATATGTAAAATGTATATGGAGTATAAAGTATAATACAAATATACAGTGATATTATTAGATAACTAGATATTTCTGCTCTCATTCTCTTTTTTGATGCTAAATTTGATTGAGATGCATTTGGATAAGAAAAAAAGGAACTTGATCATTTGAAGAAAAATACCTGCAGAACAGAACTAAGCAATACCAACATTTTCTAGCCAGGAAATTGCCCTTTGCTTTAAAGATTACATTTTAGATAGAAAGTTTTCTGTTGGCTCTTACTGATAGAAAAGATGAGCAGAAATCTTAGGAGTTGGTATGTGGGAGTGCGGGGTTGAGGTGGGCTGGACTACATGAGCAACTTGTTGATAAGAACCTTACTTAGAATATTCCGTAGATTTGTTTGAACATAGGTACTTTTTGCATTCTGTATGTGCTTTGGTTTTAATTGCAACGAAAGGTTGGTATCTGGTATTCTTTGTTGAAGTGCACTGCTACTTCTAATTCAGCAGATGAGAAATAACTGGTAGTTCTAGTCAATTACTTGTTCTTTTTCTAAGATAAATGAAACGATTTATTTTACCTTTTGTTTACATATTTGATAACAGGAGGTGTTTATGAAGATTCATGTGCTAGTCGTGGTCCAATGAGTTTGGGAGAATTGGAGTTGCAGCCAAATTCTAACCTTGTTCCTCCCGCAACACTTCTGACAACACAAGAAAATGATGTTAATTTGCCAGTAGCAGCTGAAGAGTTTTCTCAGGTACCAAATTAATAGCACTTGTACATATTTTACTTAGAATTGTAACAGTATTGCTTTAGCATGGTACACTGTCAGTGGCATAGTCTTTGGAGTCAGACAAGCTTCAAATCATTCCTTCTGTATTTATTAATTCAAGCCTTAATGCAAATCATAGCCCAACCAGTTTTTAGCTGTCACATAGAACAAATTGTTTAGTGTCTTTCTAAGCCTTAATTTTCTCATCTGTAAATTAAAAATAAAAATAATATATATTAAATGCTTGGTATCTAGTTAGGTAGCTCTGTAACCCATGCAATAGCTAGATTACTGATTTGCACATAGTAGGTAATTAATAAATGTTTATTACATTAACATTTGTAAAATGTATTACCATGAAAGAATAAGAAATTTAATGCTGAGTTAAACCAGTAGCCCATGAAATCTAGTGTACTGAAAAAACAGGACAATTGTTCTCTAAGATATTAATCTAAAAAATGCTTATGTCATTAAATATACTTTTGTATCTATGTGATAGCAACAAGTTTCTCACTGGATATTAGTTTATTCAGTAAGTGTTCATTGAATGGTATTGTGCTAGGTGTTGAGGAAGAAGACAAAAAATATGTAAGATAAAGATTGTCAATGGAACACACCATTAGGTAAGTTCTTGTTACCAACCTGTGACCAAGCAAAGATCAGGAAAAGATAGTAACGAATTAATATGTTATAAATTTTGTACAAAGGATGGTTTGTGACCTTCAGTTAGGCAAAGATTTCTTGGATATTGTACCAAAAGCACTATCCATTAAAGAAAAAATGAATAAATTAGACTTTATAAATATAAGAAATTCTGTTCTTTAAAATACACCACTGCTAAGAGAATGTAAAGATAAATCAGACTGGGAGAAATATTTGCAGATCATTTATCTGACAAGGATATAAGGAACTCACAGAATTTAATATTAAGAAAACAAACAGTTCAATTTAAAAATTGGTGAAAGGTTTGGACAGATACTTTAACCGAAGAAGAGATATAGATGGCAAATAAGCACATGAAAAGATGCTCAACACTGTTAGTCATTAGGAAAATTCCAATTAAAACTAAAATCAAATACTACTACCAACCTATTAGAATAGCTAGAATTAGAAAGACTGAGATTCCAAGTGTTGGCAAGGATATGAAGCAACTGGAACTCTCATACACTGCAGTGGAGAGTGTAAAATGATTCAACCCCTTTGGAAAAACAGTTTGGCAATTTCTTAAAAGTCAAACATACACCTATCATATGGTAGTTAAATGTTCAACTACTAGCCAAAAAGTTGATGGTTTGAACCCACCGAGCGGTACTTTATAAGAAAGGCTTGGTGATCTGCTTCCAAAAGGTCACAGACTTGAAAATCCTATGGAGCAGTTTTGCTGTGCTCACGTGAGGTTGCCATGAGTTGGAATCCACTCAAAAGCAACAACAAAAACACATATGATCCAGGCATTTTACTCAATAGAAATTAAAACATGTATCTACACAGAGACTTGTACATGAATGTTAATAGCAGCTTTATTTGTAGTAGCCAAAAACTGGAAGCAATACAAATGTCTGTCCACTGGTGAATGGACAAATTGTGGTATAACTATATGATGGAATACTACTCAGCAGTAAAAAGGAATTGATATGCAGTGTTAACACACACGTGGGAGAAAGATGTGGCAGTCTGCTTCCATAAAGATTACAGCCTTGGAAACCCTATGAGGCAGTTCTACTCTCTTCTGTAGAGTCGCTATGAGTCAGAATCAACTCGATGGCAGTGAGTTGTTGTGTTTTTTTTTTTAGGGGGAGGGGTTTATTGATACACATGACAACATGGATGATTCTCACAAAAATTATGCTGAGTGAAAACTAGACTTAAAAAAGAACACATACTCTATGATTCCATTTATATAAAATTCTAGAAAATGCAAAACTAAGTGTATTAGTTTTCTAGGGCTGCCATAACAAAATATCATAAAGTGGGTAGCTTTAGGAAACAGAAATTTATTATCTCACAGTTCTGTGGGCTAAGTGTTGACCGTGTTGATTCCTTCTGAGGCTCTGAGAGAGAATCTGTTCCATGCTTCTTGCCTAGCTTCCAGTAGCTTCATTCATTCCTTGGCTTACAGCTGCTAAGGTACATCGTGTCTTCCTCTGTCTCCCTGTCTCTGAGTATCTTTTTCTCTTTTATAAGGACATTAGTCATATAGCATTAGCACCTGCCCTACTCCAGTATGATCCCATGTTAACCTAACTGATAACATCTTCAAAGACCCTATTTCCAAACGGGATCACACTCACAGGTACAGGGATTAGAACTTCAACATAACTTTTTGGGGAACATAATTCAATTCATAACACTAATCTGTAGAAACAGAAAACTGATCAGTTGTTGCTTGGGGATGGGTAGGAAGGGGTAGAAGGGAGGGATTATAAAAGGGTAAAAACTTTAGAAGTTGGTGGATATGTTCATTATCTTGATTGTGGTGATTGTTTCATGGATATATACATATATCAAAACTTAGCAAATTGTACATTTTAAATAAGTGCAGTGTATTATCTATACCTCAATAAATACCTGAATAAAGCCATTTAAGAAATAAAAGAGAGATTGCTTTGTTTAATTGTTGGCCTCTTTTAAAATAAAACTGAAACATTACCAGAAGAATGGACCTCAAAAAATTTCTTCGTTAGATTTCTTTAGCAAACAAGGAAGTATAGCTAGTAATAATAATAGTACACTTTTATTTACAGTGCTTACTTTGCCAGATGGTGTTCTAAGATCTTTATATATTTTAACTCATTTAATCCTTATAACATCCTAATGAAGTAGTTAATATTTTTCCCATTTTATGAATAAGGAAATTGACGCATTGAGAGGTTAAGTAACCTGCTTAAGGTGAAAGCTAGAAAATGGCTTGGTCAGATTTGAACACAGGCAGTTTAGCTCCAAAATTCTTACTCTTAACTACTGTGGTTAAGGAAGGGAGCTAGGAAGGCTTTAAGTCTTAGGAGCCAGAGATAGTCATAGTATCCATCTTAGAAATACACATCAAAATATATTTACTTCAGGGAAGAAACCTACATAACTAATGACTCTAAGGTTGGAAGACCAGAGTTTAGGCTAGTTGTTACTACTGCAATCTAACGCTACTCATTTTTACCTCTTGATAAAAGAAATGGTTGCGATAGCTGAAATGGTTACATTTGAGTCCGTGTGGTCAGGTGTTTTAGATTCTTCTTTGGTTGTATTTACCGATAAGAGTCCAAAGATGACTTTTTAAGTTCCTGTTGAAGTATATCTATTAGCTGTTTTCATTCATAATCAGGCTATTAAAACAGGAAAGGGAAGAAAGAAAAGAGTTAAAGCCATCACAATTTGTGATGTGTGATTGTGAAGGAATTTGTGACCACTGTAAATTTCAAATTTGGTTAGGTTATAGATAAAGAAGAGAGATGAGCGATTTATGGTGGCACGTAAGCTTCTTAGATAGTAAAACGATAACAATACCAACTCACACTTCGGAGAACATCAAGTAAATGATGTTACTGTATGTGAAAGCTTTTCGAAGATTGCAGTGTATTATGCAGATTTTCATTTTATGCAAAAATAGTTCTATTGAAGAGCTTACAGCAGAGTAGAAATGATTAAATTCTTATCCTGTCTAAATCCATCATGCATATATTAATCTAGAGTAGTTTGATTTATAGATAGATCTGAATTCTCTAAAAATAGGTAGAAATGACTTGAATGTTTGAGATCTATGTCTACTATCCAAATCTTTTTTAAGATTTTATTTACAGTATCTTTTCTTTGGTTATATGTACTTATCACCCACTTGCTAGTAGAAGTGCCAGTAACTAAATGACAAGAAGGCAATTAGAAGACAGAGGTAATATTCAAATTTTATATAATAAACACCTGAATAATTTAATCAGCTGCTTAGATTTTTTTTTAACGTAACTTAAAGATGACTTCATGTCTTAAATTCTTTAGTACCAACAAAAGCAAGACCAGGATGTTGAACACAAACAAGTTGAACACAAACCAACACAAAGTCGTTTAATACATGTGAGAAGTAAATCTGACATTTCACTGTCACAGCGACAAGGTAAGACTTGTTTTTATATAATAATATAATAGTTTGATACTTGTCCTGATATTGAACAAATATATAATAATAATTCTTTACTTTTAGATGTCTTACTCTTATCTCTAGGTCTTTTTGTTTTTGTTTTCTTTCATTTAGTCCATTTGAATGAAGAAGTGGTATCATGTTTGACTGCATATTCATTATTTCTTTTTACCAATAAACATTATTTCTAATGGATTTGCTTTTAACCTTAGCTAGTGTTTTTCCTTTAATCCTATGTTTGGATTCTTGTACAACAACATTGAATGTTAGGATCTTTTTATCTGTGTATTGATCCATACGTAACAGTTGTCTGTTTTAATTGTAATATGATAAAGGCAGGGATTATGACTGTTAATATGCTTTGTAAAGGCTATTTGGTGTTGTATGGTGATGTTGACCGACAGGTAACAACTCAGAAAACAAATGATTCTCTTGCTAAATGCTATTACATGAATGAACTGTTGTCTGATTATCATAATTGTGTGGTTACACTTTAATTTCACCATCAGCATTAAAATATTTTGATAGTGCCTTTGTTTCTACAAGGCTGTTGGCCTTGTGCTTTGTTTAACCTCTTACTATTTAGTAATTTAAATATAGCAGTAGAGACTAGGATCTCTTCTGTTCAAAAACTTTCTGGCCACACTCCAGGAACAAGTGTCCAGGGATATTTTGAGCAGTGGAATGTTTTTCTTTGCTTTTATAGCTGAGTTTTTCTTTCATTTTCAAATAATATTTAATTGAATTAATATATATTATTGAATGCCCTGTAACTATGCATTTGGCATTTTGGGAAGGACCTAAATGAGGAAATGCTTAAGATAGTTATTAGGATTATGCCATATGAGGTTTAGCATTACTCTTCCCTTTGTTTTCTGTTCTTCTCTTGCTCTCACTTTTCATAACTTTGCACTCCCTCTTGTTTTTTAACCTAACCATTGTACCCAAAACCTGTTGCCATCAAGTCGATTCTGACTTATAGCAACCCTATAGGACAGAGTAAAATTGCCTGGTAGGGTTTCCAGTGCTATAATCTTTACAGAAGCAGATTGTCACATCTTTCTCCTGAGGAGAGGCTGGTGAGTTTGAACTGCCAACCTTTTGGTTAGCAGCTGAGCACTTAACTACTGTGCCACCAGGGCTCCTTAACCATTGTACAGTAGTGTTAATATTGTGTTTTAGAATCCTTTGGAAAATTGCCTATAAAACTCTCCTCATGGTGACTTAAAAATTAATCATGACAGTATATAAATTTAAGCAAATAAATGTTCCTAAGATAACATCAGGACTGACTTGGTGTCCTTTTATTGAGTACTGTTACCATTCAGGGAGGCCCTGGGTGGCGCAGATGGTTAAGCTGTCAACTACTAGCCAAAAGATTGGCTGTTCAGACCTACCCAGAGGTACCTTGGAAGACAGGCCTAGCAATCTGCTTCTGAAGGGTCACAGCCTTGAAAACCCTGTGGAGCAGTTCTACTCTGCACACGTGGGGTTGCCATGAGTCAGAATCTACTTGACAGGAACCAATAGCAACATTACCGTTCATGAACAATGACTGTTTATTTAACTTAGTTTTTTTTTAAATACTTGTTTCTTAATGTTATGAATGAATTTTGTTTCTCGGGGGATGGTATAGCTAATAAAATGATCGTTTTTCTCAGCTGATAGGAAAATACATCTGTTTGGTAAGATTTTTTTTTTTTTTAATAGTGCTTTAAGTGAAAGTTTATAGTTCAAGTTAGTTTCTCATACAAAAATTTATACACACATTGCTATGCGACCCTAGTTGCTCTCTCTATAATGTGACAGCGCACTTCTTTCCACCTCGGATTTCCTGTGTCCATTCAGCCGGCTCCTGTCCCTTTTTGCCTTCTCATCTCACCTCTGGACAGAAGCCGCCCATTTAGTCTCATGTATCTACTTGAGCTAAGAAGCACTCTGTTCCTGAGTATAATTTTATGTCTTATAGTTCAGTCTAATCTTTGTCTGAAGAGTTGGCTTTGGGAATGGTTTCAGTTCTGGGCTAACAGAGTCGGGTTGCCATGTCTTCCAGGGTCCCTCCAGCCTCAGTCAGACCATGAAGTCTGGTCTTTTTAGTAGAATTTGAGTTCTGCATGTTTGGTAAGATTTTAGGCCTGAATATCTCTCTCTAGGAATTTGATCATTGTTTTCAATTTCACTCATTAAGGTCTGACCACAAGATGGCAATAGTTAAATTTTTATTGACTTACAAAAATGGCATTAGATAATGTCCAGTTGACGTTTAATAAGTCAGTAAAAATCATAAAAGTAAAAGAAACAAAGGTGAGCCAATAGGAAGTTTTATTTAGAAAGGGTTTAGAGAAGTTGAACTAATACATTTCAATTTTTTTGCACTTAATTTTACATCTAATGCAATATTAGGAGAGCAGAGCTATGTTAGCCTCATCTAAGAGTGAGCTATAAATAGAGCATTTTAAATAGGAGCCAAGTCTTTCACTCTATTATTGGTACATATCTGCATACTGAATGTTTCTTGAATGAATTTGATTGCCTTGGCAAATATAGTCAGTTATGACTTTTTCCCATAAGTTTTGTGGATTTTATTTTTTACTCTAATGAAACCCTGAGACAATGCCAAATGTTTCAGAGAGTAGGAGAGACAGAGTGCCAAAATAATCTTCTAGGGCTCTCAGGACTTTGGGTGACCTTGAAGGAATTTAATCCTGACTTATACACAGAAGTCTTGAAGGTACTGAAGGAAATTCACCTTATCACAAGAGAATCAAAACCACGTCTTTTCTGGCAGATAAATGCTTCTAAGTGTACTTGAACGCAGGTTATGGCTGTTTCAGAGGGAAGTATCATGTATTTCACTTTGAAGTGGGTAGTAGTTTAATGTGTGTGTATAAAGAAATCAAACAGTTTGCTAGCAGTAGTAGCTCTTTCAACAATCATCCATTAAAAATTGACTAAAGATATGGTAGGACATAGATTCCAGCACCATGCTGCCAGGAAATTTGTAAAATCCTTGTTTTTCCCCCTTGATTATTACTTTAAGAATTTAATATAGAGGAGAGGAATTGATTGTTCTGACAGATGATATCTTTGGAGTCTAAGAGTAAAACCCTTTCATTTGATATTAATTCATTGGGTATATTTTTGACCACATGATACTACTTATTTAATTCTATATCCTGATTGATGTATCTAACATTTTTATAGTAAAAGCAACTTTTTAAAAAAGTGATATTAATGAATCATTTCTATTGTTTTCCTTTTACTGTGCAAGTTAACTTTTATTGCATCTTTTACCGTACAAGTTAACTTTTTTCAGTACAAATGAGAGACTACTTTTAAATCCATTTATTTGCTATGAATCCAGGAACAATTAAATTCTGTAGAGTAGTATGTTAAAATACACTATCTTTGGATAGTTTTTCTCTTAATTTTTTAAGACCATCATAATAAATAACAGTTAGAAAGTCAAGTATGCTATACACCTACTCCTCACCTATCAACTCTCTCGTTATCTGACAAAAAATGTAATATCTGACTATTTTGTCCGTTAATGATGAACATCTGGCAGTAACAAATCCTGAGGTGTGAAGTGAGAGTAGCACTGGGCTATGATGGTTAAAGTTATGTTTCAACTTGGCTAGGCCATGATTCTCAGTGGTTTGGCAGTTATGTAATGATTTAATCGTCCTTCATTTTGTAACCTGATGTAGTCATCCTCCATTTTCGCATAATGCCAATTTTCACATAGTGACCTGGTCTTTGAAACCTAACCATATCAATAAGTGAGGAGTGGGTGTACTACATTCAATGGGGAAAAAAATCAGACCATATGTTTTATGGTTAAATTGTGGGCAGATTGGATTATTAAAGTTGCTTGAAAATCACAGCATTCTTCAGTTTTCTTATTTGTAGATTATATATATTAGTCAGAAAAGATGTATCAAAGTGCTAAAAGTAATAGATGTAATTACAGTAATCAGTTAACATTTTTGTGGGAAATTTACAGAATCACAGATGTTTCCTTTTTGCATTATGTCCTGAGTTTAATTTCTAGTCATCCTAGCACATTTTATACCTCTCAAACTGTGATTGTGATTTTAAATATGTGAGAATTAAGAAATTCAAAACTTCATGTGTATTTAGAAGCTATTTCTGACCACATGTACAAATGAAATTATTTTTGTTCTTTAATAAAATGGTGAGTTTTTTTGCCTTCGTATAGCTAAATTACAATAACTATCAGAATTACAACTTCAATTTTAGTAATTTCAAAACCACATTAGAAGTTTAATTTGATTTTTTTTCTTTTAAGGTATGACAGTGATTTCAAAACCGTGTACATGAATCTCTGATGGGTAGAAGATGGGGCTAGGTTTGCCATAAATCCATGCTGTTTTTTCTTAATAAAATAGAAATTCATTTTAAAATGGTATCAAATTTGGGGATTGTTTCCACCTAGGATGTAGAAAGTGCAAAGAGTGTCATTTCCATCCTAACTATAATAAGATGCCTGATAAACTAAAAAAAATAACATTTCTGAACCCGTCAGAAAGTTGATGACACAGAGCAACTGAGTAGCCTAAAATTCAGGGAAGACAGACTCCTTCAAAAAGAGATGGGACATAAGCACTGGCTTGCCTGTGCCAGAGCATAGAAGTAAGAGATGTGTTAGGCAGATAAGAATAATTTGGTTAAAATTTTTTATTGGTTTGCTAAAGGTACAGAACCACTAGGAGCTACAGATACAAGAGGAGGTGTAGGCTCTTCTCCACAGACCTATAGAGAAAAAAATATTGGGAGTAGGGCAAGAGACTGAAGAGAGTTTCCTTCAGTGGTATAAGCCTGGAAGAGGGGAGTGGCTGCCACTGCCAGAAGAACCAGAAGCCTCATTTGGAACCTTCTACTATAGGAGCAAAAGCTTTAAGCCACTGGGGGAGAGACAGCACATCTGTTATCTCCAGGGTATAGATGAAAAC